GGAGGAGGAGGAGGAGGAGGAAGAGAGGCCACTGAGCTCACCACAAGCAGAAGGAAATAAACAATTTCTTTAAAGGTGTCTGGTATTCTGTCACTCACTCAAACAAATTCCATGCAAATGTAAAATGAATGGATTGAGCTTCTGCTGTAAAAGTAAAAATAACATTCTTGTCATTCCTGTCCACACCTTAGCGCAGTGAGTTGAATGGAAAACATCCCGTCAATCACAAGAATCAAAGTCACAGCTTTCAGGGGAACAATTTTCTCTTTATCCATAAAAACTCTTCTAGGGAAACTGGACACAGGAGTGCACTGGTGCCCAAGGTGTGTTGAGTCTTTGAGTGGACTGCCCAGCTCTACTGGTCTTTATCCTGCTCCACTGAAGGGCTCAGTGTCCCCTCCCTAAACTTAGAGTAAGAAAAGCTCTCTCTAGTTTTTCTAGTAACCCAGATAGCTTAGCAGAAGTTTCTGGGAGCAGTGGAAATGGCCATAGAGAGAAAAGTCAGGACAGAGCTGTCGTAGGAAGGGGCTGTAGCTGGGAACAGTATGTTGAGATGTACCCCTGGGAGAGGTATGTCCCAGGAGGGGCACACAATGAAAGGAAAGCAGTAAGAATGGCCCTGCAACAGTGACAATGACAGTACCCAGTACTGTGGGAGGGTAACTCCCCTGCCTGGTCTAACTAGGAGACCAGTCCTGGGTGCAGGAATCCATCTCAGGGCCAAGAGGAAGCAGAGCTGCGTGAGAGCAGGCAGAAGAGGAACCAGCAGGCGTGATGTGCGGCTCCAGGTGATCTTCCCAAGCATGCAGAAGGAGCCAGGCGGTGCTGCTAGGAGAGGCGACTGGAGCAATCCACAGGGTGTAGAGTGGCAAATCACTTGGGGCTCTATGGCTCGGGGGCTGGACAGACATCACAGAGGTATGGCCTGTAAGGAACAAGAGCAAGAACCAAGAGACAAGAAGAAGCTGTCCCCTGTACCTGGGCCAAGAGTTAATGATAGCTCGGTGGGGTTGGCTGGAGTGAAAGAAGTAGCTTCAAAAATTTATTTGCTGGCAAGGGGATAAGAAAAAGGGGCATCAGCTACATGAGACTGATGGCTCAAGCAAATGCACAAGCAGGGCTGTGCACAGCAGCAATGGGAGAAGAATGGAGAAGGGCCAGCTGCCAGAGGCAAAGCACACTTTGCTCTGAACATATCAAGAGAATTGGGAGACCATGAGGGAAGACTGCCAAGCAGGCTTTGTGTCCCTGCAGTCACAGCTTGGAACAGAAGGCCCAGGTAGAAAAGTGGTTTTGGAAACCATCACCCCAATCTAATTTCTTTTGGACCAGGTAGGTTAAGAAGAGCCAGCAAAGAAGGCAATCTACGAAATTCTCTTGCCTAAACTGTTGTGTCTGCTTCCAGAGGATGAACATGGGTCCTGCTCCTCTGGAGAGGTGCCAAGCACCAAAGGCACAGAGATGGCCACAGCTCAAGTCTCACCTCTGCCAGCACTCTGTTCTGATGGCTTCTCCTTGGGAAGACCTGTGCATGTCTGTTTCACACAGCAGCCGAATAAAGATCCACTGTCACTGGAAGTGGTGGCATCCACCTACAATCCCAACACTCAGGAGGCTGAGGTAAGAAGAACACCACGAGTTCAAGGCCAGCCTGGGCTACACAGCAGTATCCTGTCTCAGAAAGCAAGCAAGCAAGCAAGCAAGAGGAAGGGAAGGATGGAAGGAAAGAAGCCAGGCAGGCAGGCAGGCAGGCAGGCAGGCAGGCAGGCAGGCAGGCAGGCAGGCAGGCAGGAAGGAAGGAAGGAAGGAAGGAAGGAAGG